GCAGTGAGAACGAGAAGGCCTTCTCAGAAGTCTCGGAAGCCCCTCGGCCTGCGGAGAGGCTTTCTAAGCCTTCCACGGAGACAGCAAAGACCTCTCAGAAGGCGCGAGGCCTTCCGCGAAGGCCCGCCGCCTCCTGAGAGGTCCTTCTCCTCCTCGCTTCACTCAAGGGGCCCAAGGACACACAAATAAATACACACAAATAAAATGATCCCCCATATTTTCCCATATTTTCTTGGTTTTTGTCTTCCCCACCACTTCCCATATTTTTGCATATTTTCCTGGGAGTCGACGATTGAATGTGTCTGTGTGTTTCTTTCCCTCCTCGCTTCACCCCCATCGCTCGATGCCGAAAGTCTGCCCCGGGGGCGGCGCCGCTGCCACCGCGGTGGTGCACGCGTGCGGGCTCCCAGTCCCCACGAGCTCGGCGGCGACTTGGGCGGGAGCGGCGCTCCGCTCCCCCCCGCGGGCCAAGGCACTCTTCGGGCCTGCGCTCGCGGGGGCCGCGTGGCGAGCAGCGGGGCGGGCAGGAGGCCGAAGCCGACGGCTCTCGGGGGCCAGAGCGGAGCGTCCGAGGGGGCCTCGAGGGTGCTGCAATCGCGTCAGCTTTGCGCCTTCGCATCGGGACTTGCGCCCTGAGGCTCCTCAGGCTCCTCGGGCTCCTCGGGCTCCTCGGGCTCCTCAGGCTCATCAGGCCCCTCAGGCCCCTCAGGCTCCTCAGGCTCCTCGGGCCCCGCAGGCTCCTCAGGCTCCTCAGGCCCATCGGGCCCCTCAGGCCCCTTGCGCTCCTCGGGCTCGTCTTGCACATCAGGCTCACTTTGGTTCCTCAGGCTCCTCAGGCTCCTCAGGCTCCAGGGCGGTCGGGGCTGGGGGGCGGGGGGGGGCACAGGGCGCGCTGACCTGCAGCATGGACCCAGAGACCCTGACCACCTGCCAAGCCACTCCGACCCAACCCGATTTCCGGTGGGGGGGGGGGCACTCCAGAACACCGTGGAAACACACTTGGGGAAGCCCAGAAAGGTACTGAGGCCGCTACTCCCCGGACCGTTTCTGGGGTGCAACCTGACCAGAATTTCAAGGCGAATCCGCTCGTGGCGACGAGAGCCTCCTAGGAAGGCAAAACAGGGGGAAAACAGGCGAAGGGTAGCGGTATGGGCACCTTGTCACCCTGTCCTCTTCTGAACGATGGAACCCGTGCACCCCCCAACCCGAAATATGGGGTGGTCTAGGGCCTTCGGGCTGGGTGAGGGTGGCTTTGCAAGTGGTGAAACTCTGCCCGCGATGGCGGGCCCCCGTGCCTACGAGAGAGGGAGTGGAGCGGAGCGGAAATGGGAGTCGCGGGGCGGCGCCAGCGCACAGGGCACCGACGTGTAGCTTCAGAGGGCTTAGCGGTATAGTCAAAACTGATAGCAAACATGTGTGATAAGGATGCAAGGGCCTTGGACGCCCATACGCTGAAGCTTCCCGAAGAGGGGCTGGCTAAAACGAGTGGTGAAGGATGGACCGAAGAGCAAGGATGCAAGGGTACCCTTGGGAAGGTTGTCTATCCTTGCAATCGGCCTCGACTGTAGAAGGCGTGGGCGGATGTTTTGTTGAGTGGGCGAAGGGAGATAGGATATCCCGGCGACAGCAGGCCTCCGCAAGCGAGCGCATCAGAAGTAGGGTGAGACGGGCGGACTGGTGTGGACGAAATGCGAGCAGTTCTGACACAGTGAAAGGGCAGGGCTCTTCATCTCGAGGGAGAAGGTAGAGGGCGAAACGCGACGAACAACGCGCAAGGGGGAGGCGCGGCAAGGATGCAAGGGCCTTTGCGGGCCGTGTGCACGTTTTTTGAACGGATCAACGATGGGCCGAAGGATGCACGAATGGGCCGAAGGATGCACGAAGGGGCCGATGAACGGATGGGCCGAAGGATGCACGAATGGGCCGAAGGATGCACGAATGGGCCGATGAACGGATGGGCCGAAGGATGCACGAATGGGCCGAAGGGGTTCAGGATGCAAAGGTCAGCCTTGGAAAATTCCTCGGCCCTACTATGCACTTTGAATGTTGTAGACGCGCTGGCGTAGATCGGGGAGGGCAGGGTGGGCCGGGAGTGGGAGCGCAGGAGGAGGCTCGGAGGCGAGAGTCCGGAGGGCAGGTGCAGGAGCAGCCTCCCGGCTCCTCCTCTCCCCATCGGCACCGACCGCGGCGCCGACAATCGATCGAAGAAAAAAAACGATCCTCGATCCTCGGTCGCAGAAGAAGAAAAAAACAAATAAACATACACTTTCGACGGTCCACGCGGAATTATTGGATTTGCGCTATGCCCCCCTCCTTGACACGCGGAACGCGCCTGGGGCAGCGCCAGAGGCGCAACCCGGGAGGCGCCCAGCGCGAATCCGAGGAATCCGCGCGGAGCGCTAAAAAAAGTTTATGCTCAAGAGCTTCTTTCTTCTTCGAGGTCGATCGAACGATCCGCGATCGGCACCGACCCGAAGAAAAGGCCCGCTGGGGCCGCGGCGCTGGGCCAGGCCTGCGAGACGTCGTCTGCCTCTGCGCGCTGGCCGGCCCGCTCCGGCAGCCCCATTCCCGCGGGCGGGGCGCCGAGGGAGTGCTTCAGGACCTCTCGGGGGGGGGCCCAGGAAGGCAGCAGGCTCCTTCTCCACTTTCTCCACTTGCTCCTCCTCCTCCCCCTCCTCCTCCTTCCCCTCCCTCTCCTCCTCCTCCTCCTCCTCCTCCTCCTCCTCCTCCTCCTCTCTCCTCCTCCTCCTTTTCCTCCTCCTCCTCCTCCTCCTCCTCCTCCTCCTCCTGCTCCTTTTCTTCCCCAGACCCCCTCGCGTTGTGAACAAAAATCACGACGGAAAGTTTCTCGCCATGGTGGGCCTCCGGGGGCCCTTACCGGGCGTCGGGACGGTCAGGAAACGACCCGGGATGAAAAACCAGTCCCTGGGAAGGGATCCAGACAATGGGGGGTCGACAGTGCGAAAAAAACGACGTCGGGAGTAGGGGTCCTTCCCCCGCCTCTTCTTCTCGGCGGCGAGCGAGGGGGTGGAGTGAGAAGGAGGAGGCCTTCTCAGAGGGCGGCAGGACTTGTCAGAGGCCCTCGCGGCTTCGGGGAAGGCCGAGGAAAACTTCTCGGAAGGCCGGGGGACTTCCGAGTCTTCGGAGGAGGCCCGCCCCGTCTCCCTTCCCCTCCTCGCTCGCCGCCGGTCTTCCTCGTTCACGTATTCGGTCGCTCGTTCGTCGAACTCACGATGCGAAACGAGGCATCATCTGGATGTGATCAATTATCGCCCTGGTGTGGGCCGAGGGCAAATCTACATCACGACTCAGCTCCCTGCTTCGATCTGTGTCCTCCCAAGATGCCTCCAGGAGGCTTCCACGAAACTCCCGAGAAAGCTCGCGTGGGCATCGGTTCTGGATGGGCTGGTGAGGATCTGCCAAGAAAAATGACTTGCACAAGCATGCTTCATGTTGTCGGAAGTCCACGCGGATGTTCCTGCCCGCGCGACGCACGGCTCATGGCCCTCGAAAACTTAACGACCATGCAAGTGCGACCGTCTTGGTCTTGTTCAAGATGCGGGAGGGGGTCCTGGTACAGCAGGTTGGTGTCGTCATACCCCCCGTTGTTTTCTGACGCCTTGTGGATCTATCGGCCTTGAACGAGCGGCGGTCTTTCGATCGCCACATGTTTCCCTTATTGGCCGATTCTGGGTCACTGTTGGTCCTCAACCTGGAACGCCCGCCGCGTGGTTGCCGCCGCGTCGACACGATGCAAATCCGCCGTGCACACCTTCTGCGGCCCCTCCTGGAGGCCTACCGTGTCATCATGCGCTGTTCTTGCGAAGTGACGCTGGTTGACGCTGATCGATGCGAGTCGACGCTGGACCGACTCGAATCGACGCTACATCCAAGCTGCTCCTGCGCTGTCTGATCGACTGCCAGACGCTAAGCGACGCCAGTGCACTCCAGAGACAGAATCAGGAGTTTCTTTGTTGTTCGCCCATGACTTGTTACCGAATTGCCACCGATCCTGCCCAGGCTCGGCCTGGCCTGGAGCGCAGGGGGCTGGTGGGCGGTTGTGAGGGGCAACGATCGTGGGGAACCGTCGAAAGGGGGGGCCACCTCGACTCTGATCGGCGACGCATCGCCGATAGATCGGCGACAGGCCCCCGCTTGTGCATCCGAAGGCTGCTGGGCAGGCTGGGGCTGTCAGGCCCCTGTTTATCGGCGACCCAAGACCCCCCGACGTCATGATTTGTTCATGGCGTCGACCCCAGAGGTCTGGACCCCTCCCCCGAACCCGCGCTTCATCCTGAGTCGTTGTTTGACGGCCCCTCGGCCCGGTAAGGGTCCCCAGAGGCCGAAAATGGCGAAACACCAAGCGCCATGACTTTTCCGTTGCTCGAGGGGGTCTGGGGCCAAGGGACGATTGAAGGTCGCTGCACCCCCCCCTGAACCTAGTCCCCCTCTCGTCGCCCTGAGGTTGGCCCCCAGCCCGAGGGGGCCCGCAGCATCCGCATGTGCAGGTACAGGATCTGGCACTTGGCGGGCCTGCGGGGCCAGAAGGGCTGCGGGGGGGCGCCAGGCAGGGCGCGCCAGCAGGGAGGGAGAGCACGGCCGCGAGAGTCGGACGTCTCTCCACTGGTGGGCTTGTTTTCCATCGCCACCTCCATAAGTAGGAGGGGGAGGGGGTTCTTCTCCTCCTCCTCCTCCTCCTCCTCCTCCTCCTCCTCCTCCTCCTCCTCCTCTTCGTCCTCCTCCTGATCCTCCACCTCCTTCCCCCTCCAACTATGGTGGTGGTGGAAAACAAGCCCATCATTCATGGAGGGGGCGATTATTATTTTTTGGGGGGGCGGCAGAAGCACTCACCTTCCTTGCACTTTTTGGGGCCCCATGAGGAGTCTCCTTCTGGGCCTCCCCTTTAGGGGACAGCAGACGCACCTGTCCCGACCCCCCCATGTATGGCCCCGCCATTGCGCCACGCCCGAAGGGGGGGTGGGGGAGCTGCTCAGCTCGGGGTATCAGAGAACGTCCTGGCGGCGCGTCTATTTCACCATCTTCTGGTAGCCTCTTCCCGGCCCCAGTGCCGCCAGAAAACATGTTTGTTTCGGACGGAGTGGCATGGCAGGGAGAGCAAAGGATGTCTGCCTCCTCTCATATTCTCCACCACACAGAAAAAAGTACACCAGAGAAAAAAAACGATCAGTGGATGCTTCGAACGTTAGTTGTTATGAGAGGGAGATCACGAAATCGATAATAAACTCGATCGTGGGAGCCCGAAAGCGGCCAAGAGCCAGCAAACCGGGCACCCAAGAACCCGGAACCGGGAACCCATGGCACCCGGCCGGCAGCCGACATCGGCCCGGGACTTTCGCCAAATCTTTCATGGTCCGCTGGGACCCCTTCAGTTCAGGGGGGCGTAAGACCCGGGTACAGGGGACTCGGAAATCCCCGACGAGGTCGTCAAAAAAATGACGAGGCCGAGCCTGCATTTTGACGAGGCCTCCCGCTGCAGACATCCCACGAAACTCCTACTCGTCAAAATCCGAGTCGCGGTCGTCAAAAAACGATGTCGAACCCGAGTCCTGGCAAACCCGGGTCTTACGCTCCCCCGATCAGTGCAAGCACCGGTTGGAGAGGCAAGAATCACCCGGATGGAGGCCGAGGGAGGGCTGGACGGGCGCAGTTTCAGGCGAGCGCGTTGGAGGCGAGTCCGCACGGCGGCGGCAGTTACCAGCAGGCCGTGCGTCCACCTGGAGCCTCTGCAACGATGTGGGATGCGGGCCCTGCCGCCGCAGAGGTCCTCCTGGGGCGCCCCCCCAGTGCCTCAAGAAAAAAAAACGCGGGAGGTGGAGGAGGGGGAGGAGGAGGGGGAGGAACGCGGCCATCCTCGGGTCGGTCCATGTGCTCTGCCGCTCCTCCCGGTTGAAGTAGAAGCGGTTGTTGTTCTCGTCCGTGTGCTCAGTCCAGTGTGAGATTTGCATGTGCACCTTTGGTGAGAACTGTAGTTTTGCACAGTGCCGTGCTAGAGCCAACCCCCCTGGCATGGCGCCGCGTGCGCCCTTCACCGTCTCTGGCCAGCGCCGTGGTTCCACATCCCTCGAGTACATCTGGATGTGTCTGTGAAGGGCCCCCTCGCCATGGTGGGGCTGGACGCCCCCCCCCGTCGCCTCCCCCCTGCCCGCTGCGGGCTCATCCTCCCCAATTCGAGGCGGAAGGAAGGGGGGGGGGCAGCGAAGGGAGGACACCTCCACCTGGGTCTGGCGGTGCATCGCCGATGGTTCGGCGATAGGCCGCCGATAGCGAATCCACACGCCGCTCCTGGGCGAGGTGGGCTATCGGGCCCTGATCGGCGATCAATCGTCGATTGGGGGTCGATGCATCCCCCCCTGAGCCTACCCCCCAAACCTTGCCCCTGGTCAGGCCATGACCAAGACCCCGCCCCAGCGCGGTGCGCGGGGCACGATTCTACACTGGCGTCGGAGATCGGCGACGCCTGATAAGGCTTCGGGTTGCGCACGGACAGCCCCCCCCCAAGGCAGTTTGGCGGGCCTCAACTGGCCCCCTGAGCACCTCCAGCTGGCCTCCGCAGTCCCCCCCGAGTAGCCCGGGGCGGTCTCGACACCCCAGCGCCGCCTCCGGCGGCGACCCTGGGACGCTCTGCGCCCCAGGGTTGGGGCGTTGAGACTGCCCCGGGCCACTCGGGGGCCCCGTTGAGGCCAGCTCGGGCGACCTGCGGGGCGCTGCCTGTGCACAGCCCGCAGCCCTGCCAGCGACGACACCCAGGGGGGGGGCCAGTCTGGCACGGCGCAGGGGTACCCCTCTCGCCGACCTTTCTCTCCAGCTCCTGGACTTCTGCTTCCAGCTCCATGTACTTTTCCCACTGTTCCTGCAGGGCTCCAACAGGCAGGGCTAGAACTTGACAATCTTACCCCAACGTTGAACCCAGACATGAACGCACGAACCACATGGAAAGCACTGGCAACATCGGCAGCAACTACATCAGAAAAGGCCAGCGGAGGTCTCAGAACGCGCAACCCTTATGACCAAATACGAACCCTTTTCTGCTAAAGGACAATTGAACCGAATATGGATCAAGACATACATGACCGCGGGCGCGGCGCGACCCCTTCCAGGTGCACATCGTGGCTGGCACGGTTGTTCAATCTCGCCGTCGTGAGACGCCCTCGAGCATCCGATCGGACTTATGAATGCATGGGATGTTGTGACGCTGTCGATCCGACTTTCTTTGGGTTGCCAGCCACAGCTCCTGCTGGGACCTCTTGGCGTTGCGGAACTCGACCATGGTCTTGTACGTTTCCCTGTAAATGTGCTCCAGCGGGTGGGTCCAGGAGCTTACGCGCATCGTCGCGTTGTAGTCCGCCGACCCCTTCTGCCCGGGTCTGTGTGTACGTGTGCGTGTGCGTGTGCGTGTGCGTGTGCGCGTGCGTCGTGCGTCCTGCGTCGTGCGTCGTGCGTCGTGCGTCGTGCGTCGTGCGTCGTGTGCGTGTGCGTGTGCGTGTGCGTGTGCGTGTGCGTGTGCGTGTGCGTGTGCTCGTGCGCGTGCGCGTGCGCGTGCGCGTGCGTGTGCGCGTGTGTGTGGGTGTGTGTATGTGTGTGTGTTTGTGTGTGTGCTTGTGTGTGTGGGTGTGCGTGTGCGTGTGCGTGTGCGTGTGCGTGTGCGTGTGCATGTGCGTGTGTTGTGTGTATGTGTGTATGTGTGTGCGTGCGTGCGTGCGTGCGTGTGTGTGTGTGTGTTTGTGTGTGCGCGTGTCTCCTTATCCGCCAGCGCAGTCACTCTGCCTAGCTGCCGGCGCCAAGCAAATCTGTGCGTGTGTGTCTGTGGTTGCGTCAGTGTCTGTGTCTGTGACTGTGTCTGTGTCTATGTCTGGGTCTGTGTCTGCGTGCGTGTGTGTGTGTGTGTGTGTTTGCGTGCGCGTCACAGGCGCAGGGCCTCCCCTCTCAAGGAGAGTACCCTCGCACACTGCGGTGCAAGAGGCACGAACCGCGGAGGCCCTCGCGCCTGCCCCTGAGCTCAGGTGGGGCGAGGGGCCCACCACGAGGAGGGCGGCGCCTTCAGGAGGCCACATGCGAACCCGGCCCTACCCCATCACCCCACGACTTTGTGGGGTGGTGGGGGGTAGGGTTCGCATGGGGCCTCCTGGCCTCTCCACCTCTTCCGCCACGCCACTCCCGCGCGAGAAGGGCGCACTCCCTGCCGCCCTCTCTCGCACGCTGCCGGGGTACCCCCTGCATCGTGTGTACGGCAGCGCCGCGCCGCTGCTTTCGGACCTCGCGTGACGGCTTCGGCCCCGAACAATCGGTGACTTTCCGTCGCCAGATCGCTCCAGGGCGGTCGATTCTGGGCCGCTGGCGGCGACGATCCACCTCGAGCGCCCGCTGCGGAATCGCCGCCGCGTCGACGCGAGACGAGCCTGCAGGCCAAGCAACGCCCAGGGGTGGGTCCCGGCAGGGGCCGTCGCCGCCTCCCGGAGGGCAGGAACACGCCCTACACCCTGCGAAATGCTTAAGAAATCATGGGTTAAGAAATTCATAGTCTCAGAACTTGAATAAAAACCCAACATTTTTATTAAAATCTTAGGATTTACATTGAAACGTTAAGAATAATCGAGACTCTGGCCGAAAACTTGGGTTTTCTTAAGCATCGCCTAAGGTGTACAAGACACCCCCCCCAGACCCAGCGAAGCTCCCCGGGTCCGCCGAAAGCCCAAACTCGATCCTCGAATTGGGTCGGGCGTGTCCTCCTGCGGGCGGATTTTGGACGAACGTGTTTTCAAAAGTCCGCAAAATTATGCAGAAATGGCTAGACAGAGTGCAACATCGTCGCGAGATCATGTTTGCCTATTGTCGAATATTCCTCCTGTAGAGAGACATGCCCGACTTAATCCTCGAGCCTCCCATCCCCACGAAGATCAGCTGCACGCAAGAGAGCGGCCCTGGGCAAGGGTGACCTCTGGCTCGCGGCGTTCTGGGGACCGCGGGGTGGCAGAAAATCTGGGCGCGCCAGACGCCTGGTCGAGAAGAGCTGGCGACCCGCCCAGCGGTGGCCCCCGGGCCTCGGCACTGGCCATGCACTGACGAAGCGCAGCACAGGAGGCCCAGCCGAGGGACGGCGGCACCGCGCGAGGAGCGCCCCTTGGATAGAACACGCGGTCGTTGCTGTCGAAGTGCTCCGTCCACTCCGAGGGCAGCGGCGCCTCGAGGGCCTCGGTGGCGATCCAGAGCAGGTCGTTGTCTGTCACGGGGTCGATGCCGAGGTACCTGCGGGGGGGCAGCGCACTCCGCGGCTCGTGGCGGCCACACGCAAGAGCGACCAGGGGCAAGGGTGACCTTTTGGTGCGCGGCTTTTTGTTGGCCGCGGGGGGACTCAGCACAAGCGCGCACGACGCTACTATCGCATCGCGTTCGGCGATTGGGGTACCAAGTGGTCCAGCCTGCAGCAGGAAGTGTACTGAGACTTGTGGTGAAATCTGCAATATAGCATGAATAGAGAGTGCAGTGGGAAGTGTATGAACATCTGTGGTCTGAGACGTGGTGAATTCGTGGAGGTGTTTTATTGGGTGTCACATGAGCTATACTAAGAGTGGTACTGCAAACTATACTAGTAGCTGTACAACGGGTTGCTGTCGGATCCTGATCCGTAGTAGGGGCTGCCGTAAGAGCTGGTGAGACGAGCAGTGAGAGCTGAACAAGGGTGGGGCGGGGCCTATACTACTGACTGTGGTTGAGGATGCAAAGCGACCACTTCCAGGAACTGAAATTACGGAGGCTGAAATAAGACCTGTCTTCTGTAAAGCCGTTGTAACCAGAGCTGGGCGATTACCTGTGTAAGGGTCTGTCATACACGGATTTCAGTGATAAGAGGTACATGGTAGGGGCTGTGGTAAAATCTGTAGACGGAAACGTGGCAGAAGTGATAGTAAGAGCTGCGCCAGTGGCAGCAGCACGACCTGCAGCGGGAGTTGCCATAGGAGCTGTAGTACATATGTAACAAAAGCTGCAGCAAGAGCTGTACCAACAACTGCTGTAGAAACTGTATTCGTAGTTGTGCGAACTGCACGACTGGTTGTGCCGTGGATTGTCGTAGGAACTGTAATGTGACGTCTGCTTGAAGCCGTGCTGAAACGTATACAGTTAATGTGGAGGAAGTGTGGTCAGAACTGTGCCACTTGCAGTGGGAGTTGCACGGGAGAAATAGTGGGAGCTCTTGTAGGGCTTCAGTGGGCTGTGTAGCAATACCTGTAGCAATCGCTTTGCTCGGAGCTGTTGTGGGAGCAGTATGACCAGTACTGCTGGCTGTACTCTGAATTGCACAAGGAACTGCAAACTGAGTTGAACTGGAATGTGCACTGCTGGTCGTAGTAGGGTCCGAAGCAGGAGCTGCAGGAGAGGAGGAGGTGGAGGAGGCGGAGAAGAAAGAAGAGGAGGCCTCGATGCCATCCCAGGGCTTCCTTGGAGTTTCTTGGAAGCCCCTGGGGGGCCTCAGGGACGACTCGTGGGGGCCTCCAGAGGGCCTCTTGGGGCCTGGGTGGCGGGGTGCAGGGTGAGGGCGGGAGGAACTGAGCAAACACACAGTGGCATGCATGCACATCTGAAGATGTGTATATATATATATATGCGTACACACACGTATGCAACTACATGTTGTGCGACTCATTGTTTCCCAGCCATCCTGTGGTGTTGGGTCCTCGTTTTGAAGAGACAGCGCCCGTCTTCCTCCTCTCCTCTCCTGTTCTCTCCTCCCCCCCTCCTCCCTCCTCCCGCGCATGCATCGGCGCCCCGTATGTCCTCATCACCAATACCACCTTCATCATCAGCAGCATCATCATCATCATCACCAACACCATCGTCATCATCATCATCATCATCATCATCATCATCATCAGCATCATCATCATCATGATGATCATCATCATCATCATCATCATCATCATCGCCGTCATCATCACCATCACCACCATCGTCACCATCATCATCAGCGACAGCAACGGCAACACCAGCATCGCCATGGTCCACATCGTCAGCAGCATTAGCATCACCATCAGCACCATCATGATCCTCAGCACCATCATCATCAGCACCAACATCAACATCATCACCAACATCATCGTCATTGGCATGGCCATCCGCACCATCAACATCATCATCATCCTCATCATCATCAGCATCATCATCATCAGCATCATCATCATCATCATCATCCGCAGCACCACCATCGTCAGCAGCATCATCATCAGCAGCATCACTACCATCATCATCAGCAGCATCATCGCCAGCACCATCACCATCGTCAGCATCGTCGTTGTCATCAGCATCCTGAGAAACGTGAGCATCATCATCATCGGCAAAATGAACATCGTCCTCGTCACCGGCATCGTCGTCCTTATCATCATCATCAGCAGCATCATCATCATCATCATCATCATCAGTATCATCATCAGTGTCATCATCAGCAGCGTTATCACCATCACCAGCATCATCATCATGGGCATCGACATCGTCATCCACACCATAATCATCATCACCATCAGCAGCCGCAGCCCCATCATGACGACCATAACCATCATCACCACCATCCTCATCAGCATCATTGTCATCAGCACCGTCGTCATCATCATCGTCTTCACCATCATACTGATCATCATCATCATCATCATCATCACCACCATCATCATCGTTATCGTCATCGACATCATCGTCAGCATCATCAGCAGCATCAACATACTCGTCACCACCATCACAACCATCACCATCATCATCATAAGCAGTATCATCATTGTCATCGGAATCGGCATACGCACCACCATCATCATCAGCAGTCGCAGCCCAATCATCACGATCATAATTATCGTTACCACCATCATCATCATCAGCACCATCACCACCACCATCATCATCATGATCGTCACCAGCATCATCAAGATCATCGTCAGCATCAACATCACCACCATCATCGCCTCCTCTCCTCTCCTCCTGCACCTCTTCCCTTTTACCACCCTTGCCTCCTGCCCCCGCATGACCTCATCACCATCATCATTATCGTCGTTATCTGCATCGGCATCACAATCATCATCATCACCGTCCACGTGCCTGCTTCGGCATACCCCTCACACGTTTCGTGGACCCATAGGGAGCTCCACCGAAGGCCCTTGTGGCATAGTTCGCATGCGAGCCCCCCTCCACGTTGGCACGCCCCTCACACGTTTCGTGACCCCATAGGGAGCTCCACTGAAGGTCCCAGTGGCAGGGTTCGCATGCCGTCCCCCTTCCACTGTGGCACACCTCTCTCACGTTTCGCGGCCCCATGGGGAGCTCCACCGAAGGCCCCAAGTGCATGGTTTGCATGCCGCGAAACCCACTTCGGCACACCCCGCACACGTTTTGTGGCAACACAGGGAGCTCAACCAAAGGCTCTGGAAGAATGAGTTGCATGCCGCCCCCCCTTCGCTTTGGCACATCCCTCACATTTTTCGTGGACTCATTGGGAGCTCCACCGAAGGCCCCAGCGGCAGCGCCCGCATGGCGGCCCCGCCCTACTGCAGCGCACCCTTCGCGCGCTTCGTGCTCGTAGGGGGCTCCTCGAAGGCGCTTCTCACAACGACGGCGTTCACAACTGCATATCGTTGGGTCCTTCGCCGCTTGATTCCCCACATCCAAGGTGGGGTTCTTGTTTTCTCTGGACACCCCGCGCAGGAACAGGAACCCACCATCATCATCATCATCATCATCATCATCATCATCATCATCATCATCATCATCAGCATCATCATCATCACTCAGTCCTCACTCACTCACTCACCCATCATCCCTCACACACTCACTCACTCACTCACTCACTCACTCACTCACGGACTCACTGACTCATCAGCACTCACATATCAGCACTCCAATATGATAATGATGAGTGTGCGCGTGAGAGAGTGTGATGATCAGCATCATCACCAGTCAGTCAGCCACTCACTCACTCACTCACTCACTCACTCGCCTTGGGCTTCGTCTGTGAGTGAATTGCGAGGAAGTCTCAAGCGGGAGCCCCCTCCCTATGGGGCCCGCGGATCATGTTACTAATCCGAGCGGGTCTGTAACTGTCGCCATTTTTGGGCTCTCGCGCTGATTCCCAAGCCACATCTGTGAGTGAATTGCGAGGAAGTCTCAAGCGGGAGCCCCCTCCCTATGGGGCCCGCGGATCATGTTACTCATCCGAGCGGGTCATCCAATTCCTCTAACTGTCGCCACTTTTGGGCTCTCGCGCTGCCAGAACGCCATTCCCAGGCCACATGTGTGAGTGAATTGCGAGGAAGTCTCAAGCGGGAGCCCCCTCCTTATGGGGCCAGCGGATCATGTTTCCAATCAGAGCGGGTCATCAAATTCCTATAACTGTCACCACTTTTGGGCTCTCGCGCTGCCAGAACGCCACTCCCAGGCTACATTTTGAATGCCCGGAGCCAACTGTAGGCCACTTCGTGTTCTTCGTGCCCCCGGAACACCATTCCCAGGACACAGTTTGAATGCCCGGAGCCAGCTGTAGGCCACTTCGTGTTTTTCGTGTTCCCAGAACACCACTCCCGGGCCACTTTTTGAATGTCCGGAGCCAAAACAGGAGGGCGAGGTCGGGGGCAACGTAGGGAGCGGGGGGAGGGCCCGCGCCAGGGCGAGAAGAAATATACGCAGAAGAGACAGCCAGGACGCCTCACCAACCACGAGGACGACGGTGAGGGCTTTTTGCAGATTCGCCCAAGGGGATTCTCATGTGGGGTCATTCCGTCGGAGGAATTTGTTTATGTTTTTTGTGTTCCCAACCAACCTGTGTTGTTGGGTCATCGTGTTGCAAAGACGGTCCCCGCGTCTCTTCCTCCTCCTCCTCCTCCTCCTCCCTCCTCTCCTCCCCTCACGCTTCGTGGCCCCATAGGGAGGTCCACCTAAGGCCCCAGTGGTGTGTACCACATGCGTTTCCCCCACCCAGTACAACGCTTCGTGGCCCCATAGGGAGGTCCACCTAAGGCCCCAGTGGTGTGTATCACATGCGTCCCCCCCGCCCAATACAACGCTTCGTGGCCCCATGGGGAGGTCCACCTAAGGCCCCAGTGGTGTGTATCACATGTGTCTTCCCCACCCAATACAACGTTTCGTGGCCCCACAGGGAGGTCCGCCTAAAGCCCCAGTGGTGTGTACCACATGCGTCTCCCCCACCCAGTACAACGCTTCGTGGCCCCATAAGGAAGTCCGCCAAACGCCCCAGTGGTGTGTACCACATGCGTCTCCCCCACCCAGTACAGCGTTTCGCGGCCCCACAGGGAGCCCCACCGAAGGCCCCAGCGGTGTGTATCACATGCGTTTTCCCCACCCAGTACAACGCTTCGTGGCCCCATAGGGGCTCCGACGAAGGTCCCCGCGGCGCAGTCCGCATGCGTCTCCCCCACCCAGTACAACGTTTCGTGGCCCCATATGGAGCCCCACCGAGGGCCCCCGTGGCGCAGTCCGCATGCGATTCCCCCGCCCAGCACAGCGCTTCGTGGCCCCATATGGAGCCCCACCGAAGGCCCCAGTGACGCAGTCCGCATGCGTGTCCCCCGCCCAGTACAACGCTTCATGGCCCCACAGGGGCTCCGCCAAAGGTCCCCGTGGCGCAGTCCGCATGCGTCTCCTCCACCCAGTACAGCGTTTCGTGGCCCCATAGGGTTCGCCGAAGGTCCCCGTGGCGCAGTCCGCATGCGTCTCCCCCACCCAATACAACGTTTCGTGGCCCCATATGGAACCCCACCGAAGGCCCCCGTGGCGCAGTTTTGCATGCGTCCCCCCCACCCAGTACAACGTTTCGTGGCCCCATAGGGGCTCCGCCGAAGGTCCCCGTGGCGCAGTCCGCATGCGTCTCCCCCACCCACTACAGCGGTTCGTGGCCCCATATGGAGCCCCACCGAAGGTCCCCGTGGCGCAGTCCGTATGCGTCTCCCCCACCCACTACAACGTTTCGTGGCCCTATATGGATCCCCACCGAAAGTCCCCGTGGCGCAGCCCGCGCGCGTCTTCCCCACCCAGTGCAACGCTTCGTGGCGCCATAGGGGCTCCGCCGGAGGTCCCCGCGGCGCAGTCCGCATGCGTCTCCCCACCCAGTACAACGTTTCGTGGCCCCATAGGGGCTCCACCGAAGGTCCCCGTGGCGCAGTCCGCATGCGGTTCGCCCGCCCAGCACAGCGTGTCGTGGCCCCAGTTGGGAGCCCCACCGAAGGTCCCCGTGGCGCAGTCCGCATGCGTCTCCCCCACCCAGTACACCTCCGTCGGAGGCCGTCGGAGCTCCGCGCCTCGCTCGCCCGTCGTCGCTCTGCCCAGCGGCAAGAGCCTTGCCCGCTATCAGCCAACCAGCTAGCTCTCTTTGCTCCGCGCAGCGGACGACCCGCGCGCGTCGCTGGGACCCCTCCCGGGCGACCTGCGCGCGTCGCGGGGACTCCGCGCTGCGCTGCGCCCGTAGCCCTGGACTTTTGAGTGGGGAGGAAGCGGGCGCGATCCTCGCGGGGGGGCGCGCCGACATTGGCGTCGCGGCGCGCGGGCGATGCCGTCGGGGAGTCCCGGGGAAGCTCCTTCGGCGGCCTCGCCCAGCGTCACGAGTACTAAGATGCAGCCGTTCTCGAACTATTGGCATTCTTGTACAATTGCACCATGCTTTGTCAGACTCGCATTCATGCACGTAGACTCGCTCGCACGCATATTCATTCAGTCTCCCCGCGTACTCACATCAATCATTTTGGTTCGCGTTGTGTACCACGCCACTCATTTCGGCACAACCCTAGCACGGTTCGTTGCCTCATAGGGATCACAACCGAAAGAGTAAATCACAATTGCGGTACTCACACCTGCATATGCTTGGGTCCTTCGTCAAGCTAAGTTGTTTGTCTCTCTCTCTCTCTCTGTCACATGATATGTTCATGTTCTAATATTCTATTACGTGTATACCTGCGTGTGATTTGTCTCTCGCTCTCTCTCTCTCTCTCTCTTTCTCCCGTTACGTACGAAGCGCTTGTAGTTGCTAACGTTCCTCTCTCCATCTCTCTTTTTTTTTTTGTTTCTCTCTCCCTCTCTCTCTCTCTCTCTCTAGGGCACCTCGCGTAGGCCTGTAGCTCCGGGCCTGACGGCTTCAGGCCCCGTCTCTGCCCGTTCTTGGTCTTGCTGATGAAATCGTTCACCGAGAGCGCCGTGCGCGCTGTGGATCCTCCCGCGCTTCTCTCTTCATCCTCCGCCTCGTCGCTCTCCGCTCTCCCCCTCTCCAGCTCCAACTTGCCTGTTTCACCCCCGTGTTCCCTCCTCCTCCTCCTCCACCTCCTCCTCCTCTTCCTGTTCCTCCTCCTCCTCCTCCTCCTTCTCTTCCTTCTCCTTCACCTCCTCTTCCTGCTTCCTTCCAACTTCCCTCACTCTCAACACCCCACGCCCCGCCCCTCCCTCCCCATCATCCCTCCTCGCTCCCGCAGGCCTTCGGAAGTCCCTGGTCTCTGGAACTATCCCAGAAGTCCCGAGATACTTCCGGGTCCGAGGACGCCCTCCCTGTCCTCCGGGGGCCCAGAACCTGATGCGGGCCCTGCATGGTCACCGCGAAGCAGTACTTTCCTCCAGACGGCCGACGTCAGCTGGAGGACGGAGCGGGAAGCCATTAGCTCTTACCGAGACGGGGGAAACGATGTGACGACCCAAGCCCCGACATCTGAAGATGTGCCCTGTTCAATGCACTGCCCAAGGAAATTCTGACCCCTTTTCCAGAGGGCATGTTCCGTCCTGGATCTATTCGTGATACCCCTGTGGCCCAAAAACTGGCTCTGGAGGCCGAAATCGAGAAAAGCGCCTGGGTTGAAACAACACATGTCGTCGGAGATATGGGTACGTAGGTTAGGGGTGCAAGAGAGCCCCCCTCCCCACCTGGCCCACCTGCCCTAAATCGAGTGGGGAGTGGGGCAGGCGGGGGATGGTATACTTCCCAAGCCTCCCTCTGGTGTGGCTCTCGCATTGGATGAAGCACTGCTTACTCCAAGCTCTGTTTGTCCTTCCTCCTCCTCCTCCTCCTCCTCCTCCTCCTCCTCCTCCTCCTCCTCCCCCCTTTCCTGTTCCTCATCGTCGTCTCCCTCCTCCTCTTCCTCTCTCGTTCGCGCCCCCTGAGGGGGCTGCCGTTGCGCAACTGTCACCAATTTCGCGTACTCCTGGGAGGTCCAGCGGACAGGAGGGACACGGCTCCCTGTGGGCCACCAGGCCACCAGTTGCGAAACTGTCGGCACTCTCGTGGGCTGCTGGGAGGCCCAGCGACAAGTAACGACACATGTACCCAGTCGAGACCTCGTGGCTCCCTGGGGTGTTGCCAGCTGCTCAACGGTCCCAACTGTCATAGTCTCTCACCGGAGCGGAGAGACACGCACCCCCAGTCGAGACCATGCGGCTCCCTGGGGGATGCCAATCGTTCAAGTGTCGCCACTTTCGCGGGCCCCTGGGATGTCCAGCAGAGCGGAGGGACTCGAACTCCCAGTGGAGACCTCGCTGCCAATTCTTATGCACCACCATCGCCCGCAATTCAAACAATCGCAGAAAATGCTGAAGTCAGGGTCATGCCAGACGAGGCTGCGAGCCCGCGGCGAACCTGAGAGCGGCGCGGCGCCCGGGCGCTGTGGTGGGGGAGTTCTTGAAGCAGAAACAGCGCTTCGTGGTGATTACGTGTGCAAGCCACTGTACCCGAAATCATATACACCACTACCGCGCGTGTTCTGAATAGTGTTGATTCGGCCCTCAGGAGGGAGGGGGCAGCCTGGTGGCGGGAGGAGTGCTGCGGAACTTTCACCGAACCGCATACAACAACTCGGACCTTAGATGCTTCCCGATCTTGGCGGTGGTGGTCGTGTCCTGCGTTCGGACTCGCGGCTCCCTGGGCGCGAGGCCTCGACCCGTGATCCTTTTCCTTGATGCGATCGTCGTTGTCACCCCTTTTGCGATCTGACTCGCGAGGGTGTGTGCATGAAATAGAGGAAAAAGAAGTATGCACATGCACCGATTCTGGCCAGGCCCATCCTGAGCCCAGGATCGGTGCATACGCCCTCCTACCTTGGCCAGGAAGGCATATGCACCGATCCTGGGTCAAAAATGGGCCTTGCCAGGATCGGTGCATGTGCATAATTCTCTTCGCCCGATGAAAGTAGGGCGGCGCGTGTTGTCCAACATTGTTTGGCGAAGCGATGAGGAGTGCTCTCGGTGCGTTTTTTGTGGGGCGCTCCTGTGGGCAGTCGCGTCGCGTTACGGCAGGGCTGGGCACGCCTCGGACACTCCGTGTGGCCTTTGGTGCGGAGCATCCTCACAGTAGGCAGCCGATGCTCTTCGGGTCCAGATGTGTATTTGCGTAGTGTATGTGCGTAGCGTATCTGCGCAGTGTATGTCTAGTTGCGTTTTGTATGTGCGTTGTGTGTACGTAGTGTTCTTTACGTAGTGTCTATGTCACGTTTCAGCCTGTACAACTCACACCTAAAGATTTCATTGCACCATTAAGAACAGCCGTCCCGGGTGTGGATGGACGTGCGTCTGCTTTCGCCCTCGACAGCCATGGAGAGCGAGACGGCGACGCCAGGATGCAAGGACAACGAGCGACGACACGGCGACGGCGACGGCGGAGGCCACGGGAAGGGTGGGTACGAAAGGGTGGCGGCGAAGGCCCTCCGCTGGAGGCCTCCAGAAGGCCAAGCACGGAGGGTGAAACTGTAGGAGCCCAGGGACAGACAGAGAAATAGACACAAATCCCAGGATCGCCCATATGTTTTTCCATCTGTTCTGGACTCCCGTCTTCCCCTCCGCTTCCCATACTTTCCATATACTGTGTGTTTGTTCCCCTCCTGAGAAACACGCCGAAACTCTCGATCCCCCCTAATTGCCCTCTGAGCTTCCCGTCGCGAAAAAGATGCAGCATCGTGCAAGGTCCCGGCCAAAACTCCCCACCCCACTTGTGTACGCGGCGCTGCTGGGCCAAGATCGATCCGTGAGGGCCTGAACACACGAAGCCAGGCAAACACGAACTGTAACCGAACTTTTTCTGAACTTTACCGAACTTCAGAATTTCGACGACATTGAACAGGAACTTCGTAAAAGCATTGGTCTTGAACTTGTCCCGACCTTTGATTATATTACAATGATGACCGTTTCTGTCCCATCAACCACGTACAAGAATAGATGGTGTCGGAGGATCGCGCCGAATCGCCGATACATCGGCGATGCATCGCCGGTGCATCGCAGATGTATCGGCGACGTCGGCGACGCATCCGCGACGTCGGCGTGGAGAGAGTCGGGCCCCACATCGAGCCGCATCGCCGATGCATCGCCGATGCGGCGGCGATGCGGCGCGATCCTCCGACCCCGTCTGCTCCGACCCCAGCTGCCTCGCTGCCTGGACGAGGCCCCTGCCTCGCTGCCTCCCTCGCCAGCGCCGCCGCCGGCCCGCGGGCCTGTGCCTCCCTGCGCGTCTCGGGACCGGCTGTCTCTCTCTCTTTCTCTCTCTTCGTCTCCACTGGCTCGCCGCCCTCGTCCTCGCCCTCCTCTTTGACGCTAGGCGGACCCCCATCCAAAGATTATGGCGCTTTCTCGTCCTCGTCCTCCTCCTCTTCCTTTTCCTCCTTCTCCTCCGCCTCCTCCTGGACTGTCGAGTCCCTTTGACGCTGGCTTGTGTCGTCAATGTGCGCGCGCGTGCGATCTACAGCCGCCGTCCAGGCGCGGCTCCGGCCCGGCCTGGCTCCTGGCTCCCCATCTCGGAGGAGGGCCCAGCCGAGACAAAACAGCGGCCCCCCCACCACGCCCGCACCCGCTGATTAAAATCTGGGGAGACCATGATGTACTAATACCGCTATTCCCGGGATCTCCCCCGGGGTGCGCTCCGACGGGAATTTCGAGGCGAACGCAGCCAGCCGTGGCGACGAGGGCCTCCCAGGAGGCCCTAAAATGCGGAAAACGACATAAGGGTAACAGCATCGGCAACTTAAAGGTGCTGATCGATACTGCTACCTTTACTTTGTTTTCCCGACTTGGGGGACATCTTCCCAGCAATCGGGACACAGCCTTGCAAACATTGGGAGGTGCCGATTCGCAGAGGAGGAACAAGTTCCCTCTGCAAATCGACACCTCCTGGGGCTGGCCCTGACCCGTGCTTCGAGGAGAATATCCAACCGAGGCGACGGCAGGCCTGCAGGAGACACCCAGAACAATATGGCGCCACTACCTGGGAGGGCCGCCGTCCCAAATATCCCCGACGTCGTGTGTGTCTCGCCACGTGGGCGACTTCGGACACCGTGAACCCCAAAACGGTGTCATCCCTCGGGGGGGGCATATCTCTTACTTCCGCCGCCTTCCGCCAGCCTTCCGCAGAGCTGCCGCTGAGCTGCCGCCGGCAGAGGCAACCTCGTGTTACTTCCGCCGACCTTCCGCCGAGGAAGAGATGGCAACCCCTTCGCCCCTCGAAAGCAAGGCCCTTTTGGGAACGCCTCGCGTGGACCCCCCGGGGCTTGCGCTTCACCCTGAATCGTTTTTGTTGGACGGCGCCCGAGCACGGTGAGGGCCCACAGGGGCAGCAAATGGGAGCATACGAACAACCAACACAACAGCGCAAGATGTCGGTCGCGATGTTGCCCACCGGGCGAAGGGGGTCTGGGACCCAACCTCCTCCGGCCACCGGCACACGCCGCGCCCGACCGACCGAGGCGCACTCCTGAGGAGCAGCGGTAGGCAGGCGACCAGCTTAGGGGGAGAAGCATCGACCAATGGCATCGGCGACACATCGCCGATAGACCGGCGATGTGCCCCCGGTAGGGACTCCGTGCGTTCCTGCGCGGTCTGGGCCATGAGCTCCCGATCGGCGATGTATTGATGAGCGATTGGGGCTCGGTGCTTCCCGCCCTCAGCCGATGCTGTGCTCGCCTAGCGTTGGCCAGTCTCAGCTTTCAGGTCATACAGTGTGGGCATTGGGACAAAGAACCCTTAGAGACGGAATGCATCGTCTGGAAGCCAGTGGAACTCCAATCGTGGACCGGAAATGGATATCACCGCCGCCCTCATTGGATAAGGAATCCTCCAGGATCTGGCGCCTCCTGGGACTACTCCTTAACAAACGCCTCCACCGTACCTCGGCTTTCCCACAGCCGTTCGGGACGATCTGGGCTTACCAGGAACGCCCTGGGCCAGGAGCAGCTAGTGGAAGGCATCCTGAGGCTGGAACACGTCCAGCAGCCTATGAGAAGCTCCAAAAGCCTTGAATCTTGAACCTGCCCGAGAACGCCCCACCTAACCATACGCCCCCTCCGAGCCTATCCCCCCTTGAGCCTCTATCCCCCCCTTCTCCCCCAAAGGGTGCGTGAGATAGGACAGGTTGGCGTGGGAGTGCGCTCTGGGATGCTGCTCCTCCCTTTTGTGGGGTTCGGGCCTCATCCGTGCACTCTCGTGCCGTGTTTTTCGTTGTTGCCGCCGCCACCCGAAAAGCTGATCTCATCCAAACGTGTCCCTGATCCCCTTTACGCAAGACTGGCCCAGGCACAAACAACCTTCCGATGCGCAGTTTGTGAGGGACGCGCCTGGGCCAAACCCAAGCCCGCGGGCTGCTGTTCTCGCGCCGCACTCGGCAATCGGGGGGCCCAACTGTGCCCGCATCAATGGTTATCCCAGCGAAGCGCCACCCTTACGCATAGCCGACCCTCCCCCTGCAGGCGGATCACTCGCTTGGTTAGATTTGAGCGTGACGCGTAAGGGCCCTCACCCCGAGTGCGGGTCCGTGGCGGACGCGCCGGGCCTCAGCAGAGGCGGCGACAGCACGGCCATTCGGAGGGCGGGTTCTCCTGGGTGGATTCTGGCCTCCTGCTGGTGTCTTCCTTCCTCCTTCCTCTAAGATTAAGCCAGGACGAGGATAAGATCGGGTGGAGATACTTCGAAAATCTCTGAGATCCGTCGGCTCTGGAAAACGTCTCGGGCGCCGCGGCCTCTTCAGTGAGTTCCCGAACGCTCTGGGAGCGCTCCAGAACGCTCTGGAATCAATGTATCCTCGTCCTAGCCCCGTCTGGCAGGAAACTCTCCAGGAGCTCCGAGCTGCTCCCCGGGAGCTTCGAGAAGCCTGGGTTCAGCTTTCAGAGACACCCACCGAGGGCTCCTATATAGTTCGCCCGAGGCGTCCCCACAGCTGACTCAGGAATCACCATCCCGCCTCAGACTTGCTTGAACCATGTCAACACGAGTGACAATCGATGCTTCCTCGTCCTGGCAGGAGAGCCCAACATCGATTCGATAAATCGGATCGGCGATCGAAATGAATCGGATCGGCGGAAATCGGCAGCCGAGACGGGAAACATCGAATCGGCGGAAATCGGGAGGCTAGTATGCCTCCAATGAGACATTGGAGCCCGAATCGGAATCCCGAATCGAAACGGATCGGAATAATCAAAAACCTCCGAAGTCGAATCGAATCGAGTCGGTCTGTCCTGGCCCCGTCCGACTCCCCTAGAGACCTCCTAGATGGGGTCGGAGGACCCCGCCGCCTCGGTGATACATCGGCGATACATCACCGATGCATCGCCTATGCACTGGCGATGCATCGTCGACGTCGGCGATGCATCGGCGACGTCTGAGTGGAGAAAATTGGGCCCCACATCGAGCCGCATCGCCGATGCATCGGCGACGCGGCGCGATCCTCCGACCCCACCTGCTCGGACCCCCTCTGGGAGGCCTACACCCTGCGAGATGCTTAAGAAATCATGGGTTAAGAAATTCATAGTCTCAGAACTTGAATAAAAACCCAGAATTCCTCTGAAAATCTTAGGATTTACATTGAAACGTTAAGAATAGTCGAGACACTGGCCGAAAACTTGGGTTTTCTTAAGCATCGCCTAGGGTGTAGATCCTCCCCCAAAGCCCAGAGAAGGTCCAGATCCGGCCGCGCCCTGGGCGCCAGCGCTGCCGTCCACGCCGGGCATGCCGCCCTCCGCCTCCTCGGCCAAGCGGGGGCGGCGGGCTCTCCGAGGCTCCCCAGCGGGGCCCCCGCGGCGCCCCCCTCGGCGGCCCCGTCCCTTCCTCCTCCTCCTCCTCCTCCTCCTCCTCCTCCGCCTCCTCCTCCGCCTCCTCGTCCTCCTCCTCCTCCTGCTCCTCCTCCTCCTCCTCCTCCTCCTCCTCCTCCTCCTCTCCTCCTCTCCTCCTCTCCTCCTACTCCTCCTTCTCCTCCATATCCTCCTCCTCCTCTAGCTCCTCCTCCTCTACCTCCTCTTCCTCCTCCTCCTCCTCCTCCTGCTCCTCCTCCTCCTCCTCGTCCTCGTCCTCGTGCTCCTCCTTCTTCTCCTCCTCCGCTTCCTCCTCTTCCTCGTCCCCCTCCTCCTCCTCCTCCTCTTCCTCCTCCTCCTCCTCCTCCTTCCCCTCCACCTCCTCAGCCATTTTGGTTCAAGATGTCTGCACACAGGGGGTCCAGCGCCTCCGCGCCTGCAAGGAAGCTGCTAGTCCGCAACAAGCTTTCATCCGCTTTCAGGAACCTGATCACCACAGGTATCCTACTTCCCGCCTTTCTCTTCTCGCGGCGCGCGCAGCCATGGGAAAGGGTGGCAGACAGCAGTATACGGCTTCATTGCAGCAATGGGCTCCTTGGAGGTCATTGGGTATCTTAGGCTCGAACTCGTCTCTTGGTGACGCTTGGCCCGCTCTGGGAGGTGCACCACAGACATTCGGCAGCTCAGACACGAACAAGCCATGGGAGCCAGCTACCAACATCTCGAGCCAGAACATCACCATGCCCAAGCCGGGTAGGGACGCCACTCGGTGCAAGGTGTGCGGCAAGTTCTGCTACAACGACCAGCTCGAAAAGTTCGACTGCACGTGCCAGTACTGCAGCAACTACCTCAAAGGACGCCCCAGTGGCCCACGGCCTGCACTTGGTGGAAGTGGTCAGCGAGGACAGGTAGCCGTGGACGTTGAGGCCCCTTTGGGGCTCATCATCGCGAAGGGCGGCGCTGCAGCAGAGCAGGCTCGAATGTTACAGTCTACTTTGGCACAGACACCAGCGGCTCCTCCCAAGCCCCCGTCCACCAGGCTGGCCGAGGCCTCACAGAGAGCTGAACGTGCTGAAATTGCTTTGGACAAGGTTGCAAAGCGTGTTCTCCGATTGGAAAAAGAGCTGGGCACGGCCATGGACCAGTACAAGGAACACGCGGCTAGTCTGGCAGAGGCCATCGTCTCGCAAGAAGCGGTTGCCAAATAACTTGCCCCATAACCTGTTCGGCGGCCTGAACTGGGGAAGCTGGGCGTACGTGAGTTTCTGGAAAAAAAGACTGCGGAACCCAAGCTCATTGTTGCAGGTCTCTTCGAAGACGTGGAGTTGGAGGAGCAAGATCGCATCGAGTTTGAGCGTCGGAAGTCATCTTTCGAGGACGCGTTCAGGGCCGCGCTCTCTGCACAGTTCAATCAAACGGTTCCAACGTTGGCCGAGCAGCAGCAGAACAAAAATGGAGGAATTGGGTCTTTGGCAGGCTACCAAGAAGCGCAAGGGCAGTCTTTCGCCAGGGCCAGTGGCTCCACGCACAGTTGAAGAAGGAACTGAGACGGGGACGGCAGCTCCTGCCGCAGCGGCAGTACCTGCAGGCTCTACAGCAACACCTACGGCACCTCAGTCTACTGCAGGGACAGCAACGGGGCCGGCGCCTCTTTCATCTTGGAAAAGGCGTGGAGCTAGTGGCGACGGACAAGCAGGAGGGGCCCAAGGCCATCCTGGAACAGACCCTGGCGGCCAAGAGGACCCCGTCGCCGAGTGTCTGATGATAGCCCACCCTCGGCAGGACTCGGGCCCCCGTCCAGCCTTGGACTGGTCGCAGCGCAGAGGGAGGCCAACGAAGAGGGATCGTCGGGCAAATCTACTACGGGTACGGCGGCTTTCTCGATGGCGCGCGGCTTATTCCAGGGGGTGGCTCCTTCTGACACTCCCGGCAGCTACATCAAGGGTTTGCGCTTATTCCAGGGGGTGGCCCCTATCGGAGCCCTTGGCAAGGACTCGGATGATTCGCACGACTTCGACCCTGAGGTATTCCAGGGGGTGGCTCCTCTTGAGACCCCTGGAACTCTGGCGCACCAGGGGGCGGCCCCTCCTGGGGCCCCTGGCAAGGACTGGGGGACGAAGCTCGTCTTCGATACAGATTGATTCAGATGCGATCCAGGGGGTGGCCCCCCTTGGGACCCCTGGCACGGACAACGCTGATGCGGTCAACGGCTGCGCAGATGACCACCAGGGAGTGGCCCCTTTTAGGGCCCCTGGCTTCGAATGGGATGCGGATTGCCCCGGGTTGCGCGGTCATTTCTTCCGCGGAGAGCAGGATTGCTTTCTGTCCTGGGAAGATGAGATATCGCGCTCAGGCTGGAGGGTATCTTGGCAGCTTGTTTCCCCTGAAGCGCCAACTGCAAGTCCAAGTTCGTCCTGGCTTCGTCGCGGCAGCCGGCTTGTCCCCAAGGCGCACAGTCCACAGGAGGCCTGGGGTAACAATCGCGCGGGGCAAGCGGGCAACCGTTTTGCTGGACGCAGTGCGAATCAGTCGGGTTGGATGGGTAGATGGCCACCACATGTTCCGTTGCCCAGGACCGACAATCCCGCGCGGGAACGGCGATTGCTTCGCGATGAGATGACAGCTGCAGCAGCTAGATTGATCCACGATATCCGAGGAGAAGGATTCAACAGCATCGAGCATAGGAGAGAATGGTGTGCACTGTACTTCATCGAGGCCCTTTCACACATTTCACGGAAGGCGGTGCGAATCAACTTGGAAAGCTTCTATGACCGTTGGTTGGCGGAGATCGCCGAGATATTGCGCACTGAAGGTTTGATTCGGGCTGGATATCATCGTGCATTTTTCTTTGTGGCGCTCAAGGGTATCGGGGACAGGGATCATTACCGTAGATTTGTCAGATGGCACTGTCAAGACCTTCGGGAACTGCGTCGTCGATTCAGGCGCTTGCTTGGGAATCGAGTACCACCCGATCGGCCTCTCCCAGACGGTGATGAGGATAGTGATGTGGACGATCTAGCCCAAGATAGGGCTAACCTGGTCTGGAGTTGGGTCTCTTTCACCTTGGGTCAGTTTACCACTCCCTCTGACGTGGTCCATGTATCAGATACTGGGACTGGGAAGCAGGCATTGAATCCAGAAGGTTCGCCTCAAGAGGACGGAGGCGTGAAGTTCCGCATTCGCATGCGCAACATGTCGACTTGGGGCCCTTCGGCAAAGCAGCTACTGAAGCGACCTTACGACGCGACCATCATCCAGGAAGCTCGCGTGAACATGTCGGATACGAACGACGTGTTGGTGGAGTTCGATAAAGCGGGCTACAAGGGCATGGTTTGCCCTGCTGGTGCTGAATCGGCACATTTCACTTCGAAGGCAGGTGGAGTAGCTGTGGGAGTCTCAAAGATATGGGCACCTTGGTCTTCACGACATCTGGCCTCGAACACGGGCGACTTACCAGGCAAGAGAGCCGACAAACACAAGAAGGACCATAACATCACTACGGGCGTTCGGTTCAAAGGCTCGGTTGGGATGCAGGTACTCTTGAAGGACGCGCACATCGCGATCCTTGGCGGCTACCTCTACAAGTGACTGGGGCACGCAGGGGCCAATGTGGGGAAGTTGCGTCATTTGGCGTCGTTGGTGTCAACGTTATCCACACCATGGATCATCTTGTGAGATTGGAACATCCCGCCTGAAGCCCTTCGGAAAGCCGGGTGGCTCAACTTGGCGCAGGGAAACATATCGGTTGCCGGCCGTGTGAATTACACTACACAAGTGGACAAGGTGCAGTCATCAGCTACGTGGTGGCATCTGGGTCCGCTCATGAATACCTTTTTGGCACGCGGATGCTGATTTGGTTGATGAAGGGGGCAAGGCCCATTCTGGCATAGTGCTGGATCTCCTGTTGGAAGCCAACGAAGCAGAAGGGAGCTCGCTAGGACTTCCCAAGGCCTTCGGACCACCCAATCAGCCGCAGACAAAGGCCGACCCGAACAATAAGCGCACGCGGAAGCTGGTGGTGGTGGCTACCCCGACGGCTACGAGGCCCGAAGTACCTGAGCTGGGATCTCACAAGAGATTGGGGATCAAGGCGCCGCCGCCTTTCTACTACCTGGGCCCTGCGGACTTGGGCGCGGAGTCGGAGCGCGAGGACGAGGAGGAAGACGACGAGGACCCACTACCTGATGATGAGCCAGGAGCAGACCTAGTCCCACCAGCAGCTGATGAAGGGCTGGGCGAGAAATGGTCTCTGCGCAGCAGAGGGGGCGTGGGGCCCGATCGCCATCATCAACGACAAAAGATGGCCAGAACCCCTGATTACGTTCGGGACTCGCACGGGGCACCACTTCGGCAAGTGGGCCAGCAAGGTGAGATGGTGAGGGGTTGGACAAGGGCGGCAAAGCCGAGCGTGGTAGAGGCATCGCCCTTTCGGTTAGGACCATCAAATATGCGCCTTCTCCTCCTTCTACTCGGACCCAGGAC